GAACCTCCACCTCCTGGGTTCAAGCAGTATCCTGACTCAGCCTCCCGATTAGCTGGGTCTACAGGTGCACACCTGGCTAACTTTTGAATTTTTAGTAGAGACTGGGTTTCTCTGTGTTGGCCGGGCTGGTCTCAAACTCCTTACCTCAAATGATCTGCCTGCTTCGATCCCCCGAAGTGCTGGGATTACAATCGTGAACTGCCATGTCCGGCCTCAGACTTCTTTTTAAACAACCAGATCCGGCCGGGCGCGGTGGCTCACGCCTGTAGTCCCAGCACTTTGGGAGGCCGAGGCGGGCGGATCACAAGGTCAGGAGATCGAGACCATCCTGGCTAACACAGTGAGACCCTGTCTCTACTAAAAACACAAAAAATTAGCTGGGCGTGGTGGGCGCCTGTAGTCCCAGCTACTCGGGAGGCTGAGGCAGGAGAATGGTGTGAATCCGGGAGGCAGAGCTTGTAGTGATCTGAGATCACGCCACTGCACTCCAGCCTGGGGGACAGAGCAAGACTCCCTTTCAAAAAAAAAACAAAAAAAAAATCACCGTCAGATCTGATGTGAACTCACAGAGTGAGAACTCACTTATCACCAAGGGGATGGCGCTAAGCCATTCATGAGGGATCCGCCCCTATGTCCAGCACCTCCCACTAGGCCCCACTTCCAACATTGGGGTTCACATTTCTTTCTTTTCTTTTCTTTCTTTCCTTTTTTTTTTTTTTCTGAGATGGAGTTTCGCTCAACATTGTTGCCCAGGCTGGAGTGCAGTGGCACGATCTTGGCTCACTGCAACCTCTGCTTCCCGGATTCAAGCGATTCTCCTGCCTCAGCCTCCTGAGTAGTTGGGATTACAGGCGCCCACTACCACACCCAGCTAATTTTTGTATTTTTGGTAGCGATGGGATTTCACCATATTGGCCAGTCTGGTCTTGAACTCCTGACCTCAGGTGATCTACCTGCCTTGGCCTCCCAAAGTGCTGGGATTACAACAGGCGTGAGCCACCGCGCCCAGCCTCTTTTTTTTTTTTTTTTTTTTATTGTAGCATACAAGTGTTAGATACTCACTTGTTTACAATGCCCACTTCCCAATGGGCTGCTCAACTGGAAACAAAGGTATGTATGGGTTAACATTTCATCATGAGACTTGAAGGGGACACAGAGCCAAACTATATCAGAGGAGTACTACAATGGCATTTTGTAGTTGGGGAGGAGGTCAGATTCAACTTCAAATACAACAAGGAAAAGTGAGAATCCGTAGCCAAAGATAAGAGTGTGCTTGTTGGCAGGGGTGGTCAGTGCATGGAAAATTACCACGAGGAGCCCGGGCACGGTGGTTCACGCCTGTAATCCCAGCACTTGGGGAGGCCGAGGCCGGCGGGTCACGAGGTCAGGAGATGGAGACCATCCTGGCTAACAAGGTGAAACCCTGTCTCTACTAAAAATACAAAAAGTCAGCCGGGCGTGGTGGTGGGCACCTGTAGTCCCAGCTACTCGGGAGGCTGAGGCAGAAGAATAGCGTGAACCCGGGAGGCGGAGCTTGCAGTGAGCAGAGATCGTGCCACTGCACTCCAGCCTGGGCAACAGAGCCAGACTCAGTTTCAAACAAAACAAACAAACAAACAAACAAAAAATTACCATGAGGAAAATCAGGGGTTAAGGGGGGATTTCTGGCTAAATCCACCTAATAGGATTCTTGCTGAAAGCAGGCCAGGGTGATGAGACATCACCTGGGGGATGTTAGGGGAGGAGGAACCCAACCGGTTGTAGAGGATGACCAGATATTGAGAATGAGGCATTCAGGCTAAAGCGACTTACTAGGATTCTTGTGAGAATTGGACAATATAGAGATGAACATATGAGCTCCAAAATCAGGGCCTAGTTGAGAAATCAGAGGGGTCTGACTAGAGATAAGTCAAGAAGAGAATCTTCATTAACCATTTGACTTTATTCAAGATTGCTAAATTGCTCATTAGCAAGGTACGATCGTTTCTCTCTCTCTTTTTTTTTTTTTCTTTCTTTTTTTTCTGAGACGGAGATCTCACTCCCTCACCCGCCGCTGGAGTGCAGCTGGCCACGATCTCCACCTCACTGCAAAGCTCCTGCTCCCGGTTCACGCCCTTCCTCCCGCTCCGCTCCGCGTCGCTGGCCGGCACCGCCCCCGCTGCTTTTTGTGATTTTGTATAGCGACAGGTTTCACCCTCGCTTCCGGATGGTCTCCATCTTCCTGACCGTCGTGATCCGCGCGCCGCCTCGGCCTCCCCAAGTGCTGGGATTACAGGCGTGAGCCACTGCGCCTGGCTGATAGTTTATCTTTTTTCGTATCCACACCAACACTTGGTATGAGAAAGTTTACATTTGCAAATATATTTTGAAGCGATATTTCATCCTTTAACTTGCATTTACTTGTAGCTAATGAAACTTGTGCAGCTCTTCTATCTTATTGGTCATTTGGGGTTCCTCTTTGGTTAACTGTATGTTTAATATCGCAAGATGATATGTGGTATTGTATTTCTTAAAAAAAATTAATTTCTGCTGGATGTGGTGGCTCATGCCTGTAATCCCAGCGCTCTGGGAGGTGAGGTGGGCGGATCATGAGGTCAGGGGTTTGAGAGCAGCTATACAGAGTATGTTGCTTTTTTTCTCTATGCCTTCAGTAACACTGGGCATTTCCAGTGATGGTGGAAAATGGTGAGAACCAGATATTGCATATCAACGTTACTATTATTCGTTTTAAATTATAGAGAAGAGGTCTCACTAAATTGCCCAGGCTGGTCTTGAACTCCTGGCCTCAAGCAATCCTCCTGCATCAGCCTCCCAAAGTGCTGGAATTATAGGTGTGAGCCACCGTGCCTGGCCCATGCTAACATTTTTAATGCAAGTAAAGTGTGCCATTGTATGAATGTTCGTCGTTAATTGAGCCAATTATCTTGTCTTCTAGTTTTGGCAGTTATAAGCATTGTTTCGATCATTAGCTTTTAAACTATGTATTCTTGCTTGTTTTTAACTTTTTCCTTAGGATAAATTTCTGACAGTTGAATTGTGGAAGAAAAAAGTATTTTAATTTTAATTTTAATTTTATTTTTATTTTTATTTTATTTTTATTTTATTTTTGAGTCTCACTCTGTCACCCAGGCTAGAGGGCAGTGGTGCAGTCTCGGCTCACTGCCAGCTCCACTTCCCAGGTTCACGCCATTCTCCTGCCTCAGCCTCCCGAGTAGCTGGGACTACAGGCGCCTACCACGCCTGGCTAATTTTTTGTATTTTTAGTAGAGACGGGGGTTTCACCGTGTTAGCCAGGATGGTCTTGATCTCCTGACCTCGTGATCTGCCCACCTCGGCCTCCCAAAGTGCAGGGATTACAGGTGTGAGCCACCGCGCCCGGCCAGTATTTGTGGTTTTTTTTTTGTTTTTTTTTTTTTACAGTATTTGTATTTTTAAAGCTGTGAATACATATAGACAAAACACTCTTCAGAAGGGGCATGCTTTTCTGGAACATCAGCAAGGCACGGGAAGGAACATCTCTAATCTCTTTTATTTTGAGACTGAGTCTTGCTTTGTTGCCCAGGCTGGAGTGCAGTGGCTGGATCTCAGCTCACTGCAAGCTCTGCCTCCTGGGTTCAAGTGATTCTCCTGTCTCAGCCTCCCAAGTAACTGGGATTACAGGCATGCACCACCACACCTGGCTAATTTTTTGTGTTTTGAGTAGAGACGGGGGTTTTACTATGTTGGCCAGGCTGGTTTCGAACTCCTGACCTCAGATGATCCACCTGCCGTGGCCTCCCAAAGTGCTAGGATTACGGAGGTGAACCATCGCTTCTGGCCCAACTCTAATGTTTGGAATCTAATCTATCTGGAGGACTACACCTTTATTTTGTATTTTTCTTTCTTTATTTTCTTTATCTATCTTTACAGTACTTTGAGTTGCTGTTTAAGAGAACTACACCTTTAATTGCCTCTACCAGGCTGAGTGCATCCAAGTATGACTGTCTATGGAAAACAAGTTCAAACAGAATTCTTAAACAATACCACTTTTACACATCGTGCTGTGGTTGAGGTCCAAAATCTGAAAGATTTTTATTTCAACTGTAGCTGATCCATGAAAATTAAGGATAATTTTTTCCTTTTTTTTTCGAGATGGAGTCTTGCTCTGTCACCCAGGCTGGAGTGCAGTGTGCAGTGGCCCGATGTCTGCTCACTGCAACCTCTGTCCCCAGGGTTCAACCGATTCTCCTGCCTCAGCCTCCCGAATAGGTGAGACTACCTGCACGTGCCACCACGCCCAGCTAATTTTTGTATTTTTAGTAGAGACGGGGGTTTCACCATATTGGCCAGGCTGGTCTCGGACTCTTGACCTCAGGTGATCCGCCCACCTTGGTCTGTTGAAGTGCTGGGATTACAGGTGTGAGCCACCGCGCCCGGCTTAGCGTGGATTTTTGAATCTGAGGGTTTCATACCACAGTGGATGGAGTGTGGCCAGGGCGGGGTGTTTTAGTTTGGAAAACTAACCTGCACATGTACCCCCTGAACCTAAAAGTTTTTTTTTTTAAGGAAAACATTTCAGTTGTAAATTCGAAGAGGAAATTCTGTTAGGTTCAATCACTTTGCATTTTGGAATGCAGTTGGCATCTCCCGTTTCTTTGTGGCATAACGGTTGACCAAAATAGGTTCAGGTCTCATTGAGACAGGTTTTGAAAACGCTTTTTAAAATTTTTTTCCTGGAAAACAAATGACCAAAGTAATTGCTGTACCCGCAAAAGGTAAATATATTTCGATTAGTCTCTGCAGACACCTGATTCTTACACTGACACTCGAGTCTGGGCGTGAGACGTGAGCGCTAAACCCTTCTGGGGTAGCGGGAAGCTAGGCCAGGCTTCACCTGGGCGCCCCTTAAACCCCGCCTCCGGCAGATGAGCCCACTAGACCGCATGCGCAGGGGGTGCGCCCGCGCCGGACCCGCCCAACTCTTCCAATCCGAAAAGGGCGGAGTCTGTTACAGGCCCCGCCCCCTAGTTAAGGTGTGCGCGTGGCTAGGGCTGGTCTTCCGCCTGGTGAGGGGCTACTTCCGGGTCGGACGGCGCTAGGTGCAGCAGCCGACTGTGGTAGTGCTTGGCTGGCCGGCGGGCTGGGCTGCGGCCCGCGCGCGCCCGGCGATGCAGGGGGGCAACTCTGGGGTCCGCAAGCGCGAAGAGGAGGGCGACGGGGAGGGGGCTGTGGCTACGCCGCCGGCCATCGACTTTCCCGCCGAGAGCTCGGACCTCAAATATGACGGTGAGGGATCGGATTGCGGTGTCGCCGCTCTGCTCTCTCTGTCCACCCGCGTTTGCGGGCGGTATAGGCAGCCCTGAGGTTTGCCTGAAGACCCGGGTGAATTCGGCTGCCTCCAGGGTTGAACCGGGGGACCAGCCGCGCAGTGCTGGGGGGCGGCGGGCGGGCCGTCGGGGTAAGGTAAATATTGTTTGAAAAGGACGTCTGCTTCTCGCTCCTTTGTTTACATTTCTGTTCCTTGGTTTCCTCTCTGGGGACTGAGGCCCTCGGACGGCTGGGGGCATCCCTGAGGTCACCGTCCTGCCCCCAAGCCCTGGGTTTTGTCATTGGTTGAGAACGATCTTCTTTCGTTGCAGCGAGAATTTGCAAACTGTAAGCTGAATAGTTTGGGTTAAGAGTTGTAATTTGTAACTTTTCTTGTCTTTTGCTTAATTGGAAGGAGAACTAAAGATTTCTCATAGTGAGGCAGCGTGGAAATAAATAAACGTCTTTGGTTTAAAGAATAAAAAGGCCCAAGTTTTTTTGTTGGAGACAGTCTTGCTCTGTCACCCAGGCTGGAGTGCAGTGGCACAATCATAGCTCATTGCAGCCTCCAACTCCTGGGCTCAAGTGATCCTCCAGCTTCAGCCTCCCGAGTAGCTGGGACCACAGGTGCACACCACCATGCCCGACTAATTTTTTAATTTTTTTTTTTTTTGCAGAGATGGGGTCTTGCTGTGTTCCCCAGGCTGGTCTCGAAAGCCTGGCCTCAAGCGATGCTCCCGCCTCGGCCTCCCAAAGTGCTGGGATTATAGATGTGAGCCACCACTCTCAGCCCTCAAGTTTTCTTGAGGCCTTTGGTTACTAGGAGATATGGGGTAGCTAAGTTACTTAGCATAGAGTAAGAGATGCTTAACATTGACTCTAGGTAAAAGTGTCCACTATTTTGATGAAAGTGAAATACAGTCTTTAGTTGCTGCCAGATGTTTTAGCAATATTAAAAATTAAATTGTGCTATTAAGAATGAATACATTGGCCGAGTGGGGTCACGCCTGTAATCCCAGCACTTTGGGAGCCTGAGGTGGGCGGATCACCCGAGGTCAGGAGTTCAACACCAGCCTGGTCAACCCCCTCTCTACTAAAAATATAAAAATTAGCTGGGCGTGGTAGCGGGCGCCTGTAATCCCAGCTACTTTTGAGGCTAAGGCAGGAGAATCGCTTGCTTGAACCCAGGAGGCGGTGGTTGTAGTGAGCCGAGATCGCACCACTGCACTCCAGCCTGGGAGACAGAGGAAACTCCGTCTCAAAAAAAAAAAAAAAAAAAAGAATACATTGATTCAGGGATTTTTTTTTCTCTCTTTTTTATGGAATGCTTCAGGAATTTGTGTTTCATTCTTGTGCGGAAGCTGTGTTAATCTTCTCTGTGTCATTCCAGTTTTTAGTATATGTGCTGTTGAAGTTTTTAACTATATGGTAATTCCAACAGAATGACTGCAGAGAATACACATTGATTTGAAGCATGAAACAAAAAAAAAATGTGTTGCAACTGAGTTAAAGGTACAAATTGTTTCTGTAAGAGAAAGCATATGAGAAAAAATAAAGATGCAAACTGAGTTGAAATGGTTTTGATTCAGATGGAATAAATACATGGAAATGTTGTTGCATTTTTATCCTTAATACTACCTGTAATTTTTTTTTTCTTTCTTAAAGAGATGGGGTCATCTGGGAGATTGCAGTGAGCTGAGATCGTGCCATTGCACTGCAGCCTGGGTGACAGAGTGAGACTCTGTCTAAAAAAAAAAAAAAGATGGGGTCTTCTTTTGTTGCCCAGTCTAGTCTCAAACTCCTGGGCTCAGCGGATCCTCCTGCCTCAGCCTCCCAAAGTGCTAGGATAGGCGTGAGCCACTGTGCCCAGCCAAGCCTATAATTTTTGACCATAAAGAGAAACAAAAGCAGAGTGTGGTAGTAATTCCAGTAGGCTATTAACAGAAGAAAATTTTAAAAACTATTTTTTAATGGACAAACAACTTTTCTCTCACATATAAGGTGGTATATTATAGCCCAATAATATAGAAAGTGTTATGTCATGGGAAAAGTCCCAGCTGTAAACATGCAAGTGTCTTTTCTGTAACATTGTGATAAGGGTTTCTGCACACTAAAGATTATTCTTGAAGGGAGTGATCGTAGATAAGCTTTTAAAATTTTTCTTTTCCTGGGTTACTGATAATACTGTTGTGTTGACATATGGCCTTTTCTTCCAAAGAGGCCAGAATGTCCAGCCAGAGTTTATGTTTTTTTGGTTTTTTTTTTTGGTTTTTTTTTTGGAGATGAGCAGTCTCACTGGTCGCCAGGCTTGAGAGCAGAATGGCGCGCGATCTCGCCTCACTGAACATCCCTCTTGCCCTTCCAGGTTTTAGCAGTTCCTTCGGCCTCAGCCCCCAGAGTAAGCGAATTACAGATGCCTCGTCACCGACAACCCAGTTAATTTTTTTTGTATTGTTTTGGAGTAGAGACGAGTTTCCACCTTCTTGGCCAGGCGCTCTTGACTCCTCACCTTGTGAGTCACCTGTCCTCGACATCCCAAAAGTGCCAGGTACAGGCTGGTGAAGCCACGTGACCTGCCGCCTTTTTTTTTTTTTTTTGTGAGACTGAGTCTTAGACCACCATTTTGCCGGGCTGGGAGTGCGAATGGCTTGATCTGTGGCTCACTGCAACCTCCACCTCCTGGGTTCAAGCCCTCTCCTGCGCTTCAGCCTCCTGAGATAGCTTGGATTACTCAAGGCGCCGCGCCACCAGCTCATGCTGAATTTTTTGAGTTGTTTCAGTAGGGACGGGGTTTCCTGTGTTTTGCCGCTTGTCTTGAACTCCTGACCTCTGCTGATCTGCCGATGCCTTCAGGCCTCCGCAAAGTTTGCTGGGATTATCAGGTGTGAAGCCGCTTGCGTCCGCCACAGTTTATGTTTTGTGTAAGAACTTATTTAAGGAGGCAGGAATCGTCGCCGTGTGGTCAACCCCAGTTGCAGCGGGGGTGGGATAATCAGCAGCTTATGCCACCCTTGGTGTGTCGTGCGGAGCGTGTGCAGGCGTGAGTGCTGTCGTGCGTCGAGCTGGCCTAGGAGCTGGTCTGACAGGTGGCTGTGGCTACCATGCCGCAGCGAGGGATTTTTTGTGGTGTTTCTTTGTGGTGGGAGGACAGGGTGTCTCAGTATGTTACCCAAGGCTGTTTTTTGAAATCCTGGGCTCAAGCAGTCTGCATGCCGTTGGCCCTTCGTCAAAGTGCTGGGGATTGTAAGTGTGAAGCCCCCGCACCGGGCCCAGTTTCTTTTTTTTTTTTTTTTTTGTTTTGTTTGAGACGGGAGTCTCGCTCTTGTCCGCCCAGCGTGGAGTGCAGTGGCCGGATCTCAGCTCACTTGCAAGCTGCCGGCTCCCAGGTGTGTGTCCCCGCATTCTCCTGGCCTCAGACCTCCCGGAGTAACGACTCAGGCGCCCGCATCGCGCGTCCCGTGCACCTGGCTAGTTTTTTGTAGTTTTGTTGCGTAGAGACGGGGGTTTCATCGCTTTTGCCAGGATGGTCTCGATCTCCTGACCTCGTTGATCCGACCCGTCGTCGGCCTCCCAAAGTGGCTGGGTATTACAGCTTGAGCCACCGCGCCCGGCCTTTTTTTTTTTTTTTTTTTGAGACGCAGTCTCGCTCTAGCTCGCCCGGCTGAGTGGCAGTGCCGGGATCTCACGAGCTTCCACTGAAGCTGCTCCGCCTCCCGGGTTTACGGCCATTCTCCTGCCTTCCAAGCCTCCCGAGTAGCTGGACTACAGCACCCCGCCACCTCGCCCGGCTAGTTTTTTTGTATTTTTTAGTAGAGATGGGGTTTCACCGTGTTAGCCAGGATGGTCTCGATCTCCTGACCTAGTGATCCATCTGTCTCGGCCTCCCAAAGTGCTGGGATTACAGGCTTGAGCCACCGCGCCCGGCCCATTTTTTTCCTTTTTATTTTTGCATGTATTTATTTTTAATTTTAGAACACTAGAATTCACCTGATCGTTTTTCACTCGATGTAAAAATGAATAGGTAAATAATTTCTGGCAGGCAGTCTGCATGATTTGAAGAAGTCACTCTGCCGTCTAATGGCAGAGTCAGAAAATTCAAAACCTAAATGTAACTTTAACATTTTTGGCAATTTATTTGTTTATTTATGGAATGAAATGGAGTTTGGCTCTGCCACCCAGGTTGGAGTGCAGTGGCGCAGTCTCTGCTCACTGCAACCTCCGCCTCCTGGGTTCAAGCGATTCTCCTGCCTCAGCCTCCTGAGTAGCTGGGATCACAGGTGCACACCATCACGCCCAGCTAATTTTTGTATTTTTAGTAGAGACGGGGTTTCACCATGTTGGCGAGGCTGGCCCCAAGCTCCTGACCTCAGATGATCCGCTTGCCTCGGTCTCTCTAAGTACTGGAATTACAGATGTGAGCCACCACACCTGGCTGGTTTTTTTTTTTTTTGAGACAGAGTTTCACTTTGTTGCCCAGGCTGGAGTGCAATGGCACGATCTCAACTCACCCCAACCTCCACCCGCCTCCCGGGTTCAAATGATTCTCCTGCCTCAGCCTCCCGAGTAGCTGGGATTACAGGCATGCGCCACCACGCCTGGCTAATTTTGTATTTTTCGTAGAGACAGGGTTTCTTCATGTTGCCCAGGCTGGTCTCGAACTCCTGACCTTAGGTGATCTGCCTGCCTCAGCCTCTGAAAGTGCTGGAATTACAGGCATGTGCTACTGCGCCCAACTAGTTTTTTTAAACCTGTTTAGTAATGTCTTAAGCAGTAAGTGAGAACTTATGACCTTCAGTGCCAACTCGTCTGTCTGTATGGTCTCATATGGCGCAAAGAGGATGGGGTTGGGAGTCAGTCTGATCTGCCTGGTTCACTGGTTCCTCAGCCGCTCTGAGATCAGTGTTTTCATCTGTAAAATGGGAATGAACACGAACACTTACATTATATTATTTTTTGAGCACTGAAGGAGATTGTGCATGTACATAAGTAGCACTGCTCAACAAGAACAGTTTCTATTTTTCCTATCTTTCCCTCTCTCATCTGCCCAACTTCTTTTTTTTTTTTTTTTTTGAGATGGAGTTAAACTCTTGTTGCCCAGGCTGTAATGCAATGGCGCGATCTGGGCTCACCACAACCTCTGTCTCCCAGATTCAAGAGATTTTCCTGCCTCAGCTTCCCTAGCAGCTGGGATTACAGGCACCCGCCACCACACCTGGCTAATTTTGTATTTTTAGTAGAGACCGAGTTTTACCATGTTGGTCAGGCTGGTCTCAAACTCCTGACTTCAGGTGATCCACCGGCCTTGGCCTCCCAAAGTGCTGGGATTATAGGCGTGAACCACTGTGCCTGGCCGTCTTCTGCCTAACTAATTTCTTTATGCCTGGGTCTTGGCTGTCTTCTCAAAAGAAGGAATCCATTCTAGTCCCACTTCCTTGCGTATTGATTTATTTCCACTGTTGGACACATCAGAAAACTGTTTCTCCTCTGTCTCATGGCATCTTTCTGCTGATCCTCCAGCTTCCAGGATTCAATTCCAAACTCACTTCCAGAAAGCCTTTCTTGATTAACCCAACTCAGCATAACTATTCTTTCGGTTTTTATCTGCTTACATTTAAATAGTTTGTGTTTCATTAATTAGAATACTGTTTTGTCATTTTGAGACAGGTTTACCATTAACTTAAAAATATTTTCCTTTTTAATTTTTAGAATCTGATGTTCCTACAGAACTCCAGGTGTTAAAAGAACCCCTACAACAGCCAACCTTCCCTTTTGCAGTTGCAAACCAACTCTTGCTTGTTTCTTTGTTGGAGCACTTGAGCCATGTGCATGAACCAAACCCACTTCGTTCAAGACAGGTGTTTAAGTGTAAGTAAGAATAAATTAATCTTGCTTAATAAAGCTTGTAAAGGCTGGGATCTGTGGTTCATGCCTGTTATCCTAGAACTTTGGGAGGCCGAGGTGGGTGGATCACCTGAGGTCAGGAGATCGAGATCAGCCTGGCCAACATGGCGAAACCCCCTCTCTACTCAAAATATGGAAATTAGCCAGGTGTTGTGGCAGGTGCCTGTAACTCCAGCTACTTGGGAGGCTGAGGCAAGAGAATCACTTGAATGGGGGAGGTGAAGATTGCAATGAGCCAACACAGTACCACTGCACTCCCGTCTGGGCAACACAGTGAGACTCTGTCTCAAAAATAAATAAATAAATAAATAAATAAATAAAGCTTGTAAAAATACTGTGTTGCTGTTCTCACTTACTTGTGGGAGGTAAAAATTAAAACAGTTTTTAATTAATGGAGATAGAGTAGAATGATGGTTACCAGAGGCTGGGAGGATAGTAGAGGATGGTTAATGGGTATAAAATTATAGTTAGAATAAATCGAATCTAGTATTTGGTAGCACAACAGGGTGACTACAGTCAGCAATAATTTATTGTACATTTAAAAATAACAAAAAGACGGCCAGGCGCAGTGGCTCGTGCCTGTAATCCCACCACTTTGGGAGGCCAAGGCGGTGGGATCACTTGAAGTCAGGAGTTTGAGACCAGCCTGACCAACATGGTGAAAGCCTGTCTCACTAAAAAAATGCGAAAGTAGGCCAGGCCAGGTTGCTTATGGCTGTAATCCCAGCACTTTGGGAGGCCAAGGTAGACAGATCACGAGGTCAGGAGATCGAGACCATCCTGGTGAGCACGGTGAAACCCCGTCTCTACTGAAAATACAAAGAAAAATTAGCCAGGCATGGTGGCAGGCACCTGTAGTCCCAGCTTCTAAGGAGGCTGAGGCAGGAGAATGGCGTTAATCTGGGAGGCGGCAGAGCTTGCAGTGAGCGGAGATCACGCCACTGCACTCCAGCCTGGGTGACAGAGCGAGACTCCGTGTCAAAAATAAAAAAAAAAATGCAAAAGTAGCCAGTAGCCAGACATCATGGCGCACAGCTGTAATCTCAGCTATTTGGGAGGCTGAGGCAGGAGAATTGTTTGAACCCAGGAGGTGGAGGTTGCAGTGAGCTGAGATCATGCCACTGCACTCCAGCCTGAGCAACAAGAGCAAAACTCCATCTCAAAAAAAAAAAAAAAAAATGGGCCAGGCATGGTGGCTCATACCTATAATCCCAGCACTTTGGGAGACTGAGGCGGGTGGATCATGAGGTCAAGAAATCGAGACCATCCTGGCCACCAAGGTGTAACCTTGTCTCTACTAAAAATACAAAAATTAGCTGGGCGTGGTGGTGGGCACCTGTAATCCCAGCTATTCAGGAGGCTGAGACTGGAAAATCGCTTGAACCTGGGAGGCGGAGGTTGCAGTGAGCCGAGATCATGCCATTGCACTCCATCCTGGTGACAGAGCGAGACTGTCTCAAAAAATAAAAATAATGAAGAGTATAATTGGATTGTTTGTAACACAAAGAAGGGATAAATGCTTTAGATGATGGATACCCCATTTATCCTGATGTAATTATTACACATTACATGCCTGTATCAAAATATCTCATGTACCCCCATAAATATATACACCTACTATGTACTCACAAAAATTAAAAGTACAAAATAAAGTATGTTGTTTAATGCCGGGAGTCTGGAAAGCAGCTGGTATACAAAAACTGGAGGAAATAAATATTAATGGTTTCCCCACTTCAATTCAGCTTACATTTTTCTTTGAGTAATTCCTTATGAATGTATTAACTGTGGATCCCATAATTGCATAAAATTGGATAAATGAAAGATAGTTCTTTTGTATCTATACTATGATAATGCACAAGTTTTTTTTTTTTTTCCTCGAAATGGAGTCTTACTCTGTCACCCAGGCTGGAGTGCATTGGTGCCATCTCTGCTCACTGCAACCTCCACCTCCCAGGTTCAAGCGATTCTCCTGCCTCAGCCTCCCAAATAGCTGGGATTACAGGCGTGTGTCACCAAGTCAGGGTAATTTTTGTTTTTTTAATAGAGATAGGGTTTCACCATGTTGTTCAGGCTGGTCTCGAACTCCTGACCTGATGATCTGCCTGCCTTGGCCTCCCAAAGTGCTGGGATTACAGGTGTGAGCCGCCACCTGGCCCCTTTTTTTTTTTTTTTTTAAGATGAAGTTTTGCTTTTGTCCGGGCTGGAGTGTGCAATGGCGCCATCTCCGCTCACTGCAACCTCTGCCTCCTGGGTTCAAGCAATTCTCCTGCCTCAGTCTCCTGAGTAGCTGAGATTACAGGCACCCACCACTACGCCTGACTAATTTTTCATATTTTTAGTAGAGACGGGTTTCACCATGTTGGCCAGGCTGGTCTGGAACTTTTGACCTCAGGTGATCCACCCACCCCTTCCTCCCAAAGTGCTGGGATTAGAGGCCTGAACCAGCACGCCCAACTAATTCATACAATTTTTGAAGCTCTGTTATGGTGTAGCTGGTGAGCAGGTAAAAGAAAATCACATAAAACTCATTGTGAACCAATTCTCGACCAGAGAATTGGAACCAACTGCACATTGTGTGGTTGAAAATGTTTATTTTTATACCTGCTGTAGGGTACTTATATGAGAAACTTGAGCACAAAAGTGAGTAGAATCATAGATAATGATGTTCATGGTTCAGTTTATTGACTGAGACCATTGTGGCTTCTTTAATAGTTCTGGTCACAAGTTGCGCATGGTGGCACGTGCCTGTAATCCCAGCTACCCGGGAGGCTGAGGTGAGAGGAGCACTCGAGCCTAAGAGTTCAAGGTTTCAGTGTGCTTTTTTTTTTTTTGAGACGGAGTCTCGCTCTGTCGCCCAGGCTGGAGTGCAGTGCGCAATCTCGGCTCACTGCAAACTCCGCCTCCCGGTTCAAGCCTTAGTCTCTCAAGTAGCCCAGCCTTCAGTGTGCTTTGATCATGCCTGTGAGTAGCCAGTGCGCTCCAGCCTGGGTGACATAGTAAGAGTCCGCCTCTAGAGAAAAAAAAAAAAAAAGAATAGTTTCAGCCAGAGATTCTGAGGTTCTTTTTTTTTTTTTTACCAAAACAGTCTCAAACTTACACTTTTATATGGTCTTAAAACTGAATGCGGTTTTTGACCGGGCGCGGTGGCTCAAGCCTGTAATCCCAGCACTTTGGGAGGCCGAGACCATCCTGACTAACACGGTGAAACCCCGTCTCTACTAAAAATACAAAAATTAGCTGGGCGTGGTGGTGGGCGCCTATAATCCCAGCTACTCGGGAGACTGAGGCAGGAGAATTGTGTGAACCCCAGAGGTAGAGGTTGCAGTGAGCCAAGATTCCACCATTGCACTCCAGCCTGGGCGACAGAGTGAGACTCCATCTCAGAACAAAACAAAACAAAAAGATACGTTATCATTTTGATAAACTTGACTGGACATGAAAAATGGTACAAATATCTGTACATTGTATACTTACTGTTTCTTGAATAAAGCAAATAATACACTCTGCATTCCAAGCAGTGGCATATGTGGTGGGAGGTGGGGTAAACAGGAAGTGTGTTCCTTAGGTTCTGAAGCGTTGGTACCTGGGGATTATTGTATTAGTCTCATCAAATAGAGAAGCAGATTAGGATAATACAGCGATCTTGCACATAATTAAAGCAATCCTGTGAATTTTGCTGATTTAATTTATTAGTAAAATTTACTGATTTACTTTAATTTTAAGAGAACATATTTTAAAGCACTATGTATTCTCTTGCCTCAGCCTCCTGAGTGGCTGGGAGTACAGGCGCCCGCCACCACGTCTGGCTAATTTTTTGTCTTTTTAGTATTTTTAGTAGAGATGGGGTTTCACTGTGTTAGCCGGGATGGTCTCGATCTGGTGACCTGGTGATCCTCCTGCCTCGGCCTCCCACAGTGCTGGGATTACAGGCGTGAGCCACCGCTCCTGGCCTAGATGACTGAATTTTAGAACAAGGTTATTTAAATAAATGTTTTTGATGTGATCAGTGAGTTGATAATCTAAATGGAGAATTTTCTTTTTTTTTTTATTTTAAGCAACAAATTTGGCTTTCATAAATGTAGAGTTTTTGATGCAGAAAGAATATCCTTGGTGGGGCATGGTGACTCATGCCTGTATCCTAGCACTTTGGGAGGCCGAGGTGGGCGGATCACAAGGTCAGGTGTTCGAGACTAGCCAAACACAAAAATTAGGCAGTTGTGGTGGCAGGCATCTGTAATCCCGGCTAGTTGGGAAGGTGAGGCATGAGAATCCCTAGAACCCAGGAGGCAGAGGTTGCAGTGATCTGAGATCATGCCACTACACTCCAGCCTGGGCAATAGGGTGAGACTCTGTCTCAAAAAAATAAAATAAAATAAAATTAGCTGGGCGTGGTGGTGTGCATCTGTAATCCCAGCTACGCAGGCGTCTGAGGTAGGAAAATTGCTTGAACCCTGGAGGCGGAGGTTGCAGTAAGCCGAGATTTTGCTATTGCACTCCAGCCTGGGCGACAGAGCGAGACTCTGTCTTAAAACAAAAACAAAAACAAAAACAACAGCAACAGTATCCTCTTTGGTATCTGTATTTGTTGAATGAGTAGGAGCCAAGACACCTTTGTGGAAACTTCTTTTTCTAAGGAGCTTAGTATTTGGTTTATACACGTGTGTACCATGGGCTCTTTGTATGTTGTTTAAAGGTATTTCATGATGACGAATGGTCACTTTTGTTGTAAGTTCTCATCATATGTTTGCCCTCCTGCCCTTATTCTTCTCTTACTGACTAACAGCAAAGGGTAATGTGTGGAATGTCAGAAGACTTTGTTTACTCTTTTTTTTTTTTTCCCCTTTTTTTAGAAACAGCTTAGTACTTTACTGACTAGTCTTGGTAAACAAGTGACTGTACAGGGTAAGAGAAGTCATTATAGTTGTGCTTTTCATGAATGCGTGTAGTGTACTAGTTGCTCCTTTTAGAGAATCATTCCCCAAATTTCTTCGCTTTTAAAAAAAATTCATCTAAGAGCTGGGCATGTTGGCTCACGCCTATAATCCCAGCACTTTGGGAGGTAAAGTTGGGCAGATCACTTGAGGCCAGGAGTTCGAGACCAGCCTGGCCAAACCCCGTCTTTACAAAAAATAGAAAAATTAGCTGGGCACGGTGGTGCATGCCTGTAATCCCAACTACTTGGGAGGCTGAGGCAGGAGAATCACTTGAAACCGGGAGGCGGAGGTTGCAGTGAGTCAAGATAATTGTCACTGCACTCCAGCCTGGGTGACAGAATGAGACTGTCTTCCCCCCCAAAAAAATGTCTTTTAAGTTATTCTAGAGAACATTCTCAAGTTTAACGTGTTTATAAATATAGTATTTTTCCTATTGAGGTTTTTGTATATATTGCTGTTACTACACATTATTCTCTGTGTACGCTTTAAAATTGCCATTTTATTAAAGATGTTTCTAATAATAGTTTTTCATATTCTTTTTATAGTACTTTGCCAGACCTTTATCAAAATGGGACTGCTGTCTTCTTTCACTTGTAGTGACGAGTTTAGCTCATTGAGACTACATCACAACAGAGCTATTACTCACCTAATGAGGTCCGCTAAAGAGAGAGTTCGTCAGGTAAGCCCTAAAAAATGTGCTTTGGGTATGACAAAAATATCCTTTAATTTTAAGAGAACATATTTTAAAGCACTATGTAATTCTAATTATAAAACAAGGTTTTAAAAGTATAAACTCTAGGCCAGGGGTGGTGACTCATGCCTGTAATCCCAGCACTTTGGGAGGCTGAGATGGGAGGATCATTTGAGGCCAGGAGTTCAAGACTGCAGTGAGCCATGATCGTGCCTCTGCACTCCAGCCTGAGCAACAGAGTGAGAACCTGCCTGAAAAAAAAAAAAAAGAGAGAGAGAGAGGAGAGGCAAAGGAGAGGGCATAGATGGACTGAGATCTTGAGATGATTTTGTTTTTGTTTTGTTTTATTTTGTTTTGAAACGGAGTCTTGCACTGTCATCCGGGCTGGAGTGCAGTGGCACAATCTTGGCTAATTGCAATCTCTGCCTCCCAGTTTCAAGCGATTCTCCTGCCTTAAGCCTCCCAAGTAGCTGGGACTCCAGGCACCTGCCACCATGCCCAACTACTTTTTTGTATTTTTAGTAGAGACAGGGTTTCTTCATGTTGGCCAGGCTAGTCTCAAACTCCTGACCTCGTGATTCGCCTGCCTCGGCCTCCCAAGTACTGGGAGTACAGGCATGAGCCACCGTACCCTGCCTCATTTATGGTTTTTACTTAGTAAGATGGGAGGTGGTACAGGATTTTGATTAGAGGAGTGACACAATCTGACTTACATTTTAGCAGGGTCACACTGGCTGCTGTGGTGAGAATGAACTGAAGGGGCACAGGCAGAAGCAGGGTGCCAGGTGCCACCATACACGCAAGAGAGGTGGGCAGGCAGGACGGGTGGGGAGCTCCTGCATGGATTTTGAAGGTGATGTCAGTCTCGTCTGCTTCCTGGTCAATTCTCAGCTTTGAAATATTTTCATTTGTAAACTCTTAAGTAATGCTGAAAAAGCCAAGGGTTTTTAAAATATTGTTTGTGTATTTGGGGTTGTTAATGTGATATTGAATTTTGATAGATTCTTTATTCCATGCAAGTTTTCCAAATGCTTTTAAAAAACAATTTTTTAATTGTAGGATCCCTGTGAGGATATTTCTCATATTCAGAAAATCAGGTATGTGTGAGAAACTTTCTTGATTATGCAGACTATTGAAAAGAAATCAGTATCAAGAAAATACTGGTTTGAGGTTGAAACGTAATATTGTTAGTATTGTTTATGAACATGAAGAACTTGGTTCTCAGCAATTGAGTACTGCTCCAAGACTTACTTTGCTTCTCATTCCCTCCTCTTTGATCCTCTGCCTTTCAGCATTTAGCGTGGATTCCATGGTCACACTCTTAATTCAGATTCCTGATACCCAGGCTCTGCTGGGGGACCATTGAATTTTGGCTAGTTTAAATACTAGTTTAAAATCTTAACTGGTCTGACCTAAATATTCATCAGCTCATGAATAGATAAGCGTGTGGTCTATCCCTGTGATAAAGTGTTACACATCTATTAAAAGGAATGAAGTACTGATTCATGCTGCAATATGGATGAATCTTAAAAACATCCTACGTAAAAACAGCCAGTCATAAAAGGCCACATATTGTGTGATTTCATTTCTATGAAATGTCCAGAGTAGGTGAATCCATGGAGACGTAAATAGTGGTTTTATGTGGGGTGGTGGGTAAATATTGGGGTAAGGGAAGGATGGGGAGTGAAAGCCAGTGGATATAGGGTTTATTTTGGGGGTGATGAAAATATTCTGAAATTAGGTAGCGGTGATGGTTGCACAACTCTATGTACTAAAAACCACTGAATTGTACATTCAAGAGAGGTGAATTTGACAATATGTGAATTATAGCTTGATAAAAATAAAGCACTCTACATTAAAAAAAAATCTAACTGGTCTACATCATTAAGAAATTTAAGTAGCTGCGTGTGGTGGCGCATACCTGTAGTCCCAGCTACTCGGGAGGCTGAGGCAGGAGGATTGCTTGAGCCCAGGAGTCCTGGGCTATAGTGCACTATGCCAGTCTGATGTCCGCATAAAGTTTGGCATAGTATGGTGACCTTGACTTCCCTGGAGCAAGGGACCACCAGGTTGCCTAAGGAGGAGTGAACTAGCTCAGGTTGGAAACAGAGTAGGTCAGTACTCTGGTGCTGCTTAGTAGCAGGATCACACCTGGGAATAGCCACTGCAGTCTAGCCTGGGCAACATAGCTAGACCCTGTCTTAGAAGAAAAATAAAAAATACATTTCAGTGATTTTTTTTTTCTTTTTTTGAGATGAAGTCTTTCTCTGTCACCCAGGCTGGAATACAGTGACACAACCTTGGCTCACTGCAACCTCCACCTCCTGGATTCAAGCAGTTCTCCTGCTTCAGCCTCCCGAGTAGCTGGGATTACAGGAACCCACCACCACACCTGGCTAATTTTTGAATTATTACTAGAGACGGGGTTTCACCATATTGGCCAGGCTGGTTTTGAACTCCTGACCTCATGATTCACCCTCCTCGGCCTCCCAAAGTGCTAGGATTACAGGCGTGAGCCACCATGCCAGCTGAAATTTCAGTAAATTTATTTCTGAGCTTAGCTAACCAACTGTGGGCTGTTAGTGATTCTTAGGATTTCTGCTGTACAAACCTGGTAATGATTTCTACTTGGAATACCAGTTACTGGTAAAACACTTGATTGTGTTTTCTTCAGAGGGATGAAAAATTTCATTTTAGCCCATCCTTTCCAAATCAGCACAACTTAGTGATACATGAGGTTTGTGAGGTTAGTAATCCCGTGAGCATGAAGTATCCTAGAACGTTTTGATTCTCTCACGTTTTAATATTGATTGATTGTATTTAACTTTCAGATCAAAGGAAGTCGCCTTCGAAGCACAGACTTCACGTTACTTAAATGAATTTGAAGAAGTTGCCATCTTAGGAAAAGGTGGATACGGAAGAGTATACAAGGTAGTCTTCCACGTACTTGTTTTGACCTAGTACCGTAAATAATTGTATTTTCAGACATTGTTTTCACTATTCTTTTATTTATTTATTTATTTATTTTGAGACAGGGTCTCGCTTTGTCGCCAGGCTGGAGTGCAGCAGCGCAGTCTCAGCTCACTGCAACCTCCGACTCCCTGGTTCAGGCTATTCTCCTGCCTCAGCCTTCTGAGTAGCTGGAATTACAGGTGCCCGCCACTACACCCAGCTAATTTTTTTTTTTTTTTTTGAGACAGAGTCTCGCTCTGTCACCCAGGCTGGAGTGCAGTGGCCGGATCTCAGCTCACTGCAAGCTCCGCCTCCTGGGTTTTTGCCATTCTCCTGCCTCAGCCTCCCGAGTAGCTGGGACTACAGGCACCCGCCACCTCCTCGGCTAGTTTTTTGTACTTTTTAGTAGAGACGGGGTTTCACCGTGTTAGCCAGGATGGTCTCGATCTCCTGACCTCGTGATCCGCCCGTCTCGGCCTCCCAAAGTGCTGGGATTAGAGGCTTGAGCCGCTGCGCCTGGCCAGTTTTTGTAATTTTAATAGAGACGGGATTTCACCATGTTGGCCAGGATGGTCTTGATCTCCTGACTTTGTGATCCACCCACCTCAGCCTTCCAAAGGGCTGGCATTACAAGTGTGAGCCACCGTGCTTGGCCTGTTTTCATTATTGTTATATAAAGTACTCAAAGGAAAATTCCAAGAAATCATGTATATTTACTTTTCTTTAACATTTGTCATTTACGGGGAAGTGGGCAGGTTGTAATGTTTTTCTAACTGTGTTGATTCTTTATGTGGGTTTTGGAAACTTTGAATTTTTGACCTATAGTTAATTTTAATTAAAAATGTGTTACTAAAAAAAGTTGTGCCACTGTGTTTTGAGCTTACATAGACCTTTTGCTAACATTCCCATTCTTCAGCCGAGAGCTTCTTCGGAGCTACACTCCCAACACTATCTGAAAAGCTCTTGATCTGGCTGACTTCCCTGAACATAGTAAGGAGACATGTCTTTAGCTATATTTTAACTCTTTGGCTAGTTTGGATTGTTTAAGCTCAGGTTAAAAGAACTTCTTTATTCAGTTAAAGTTGAATGACACAATATACTTTGTCTTTTCTTCTACTTTTCAGGTCAGGAATAAATTAGATGGTCAGTATTATGCAATAAAAAAGATCCTGATTAAGGGTGCAACTAAAACAGATTGCATGAAGGTATGATTTTTAAAAATTACTTATTTTGAATAATTGTGTATTTAGTTCTTTTTGAAAGAGTTATACATGTATGTGTGTATATTTGGCAAAAATAGGCAGTGTGGATTTCCAGTTTACTAGGAATGGGGTTACAGTAAAGTACCAAAATTAAATTATTATTATTATTATTTGAGATGGAGTTTCGCTCTTTTGCCCAGGTTGGAGTGAAGTGGTGTGATCTTGGCTCGCTGCAACCTCCGCCCCCCTGGGTTCAAGGATTCTCCTGCCTCCCAAGTAGCTGAGATTATAGGTGCCTGCCACCATGCCTGTTTAATTTGTGTGTGTGTGTGTATAGTAGTATTAGGTGATGATTATACGTATATTAATTTTTAAAATATATTAGTTTCTTAAAATAAATGATTGATATATAATATAGCTAGTTATGAAAATACAGGAGCCCAGTTCCAGTTCAGTCTTCTCCCTGACATGCTGTGTGGTTCTGGATGAGTTGCCCAGTCCTCTGAGCCATTTCTGTCACCTGCCCTGAAATAGTAGTGACAGTAGTGATTTTACTTACCTTGGAGGACTGGGGTAGGAATCAAAAGAGAGAATGGTGATAAGTGTGCCATAAAAAGTGTAAAGTACTATATAAATATGTTATTTAGTTGCTATAACAATTGCCATTTGTCTCTCAAAAATATTTCCATTATGTTGGCCAGGTGCAGTGGCTCACGCCTGCAATCCCAGCACTTTGGGAGGCCGAGGCAGGCAGATCACTTGAGGCCAGGAGTGTGAGACCAGCCTGGCCAACATGGCGCAACCATGTCTCTACTGAAAACACAAAAATTAGCCGGGTGTGGTAGTGCATGCTTGTAATCCCAGCTACTCGGGAGGCTGAGGCACGAGAATGACCTGAACCCAGCAAGACTTGAACCCAGCAAGCAGAGGTTGCAGTGAGCCAAGATAGCACCACTTCACTCCAGCCTGGGCAATAGAGCGAGACTCTGTCTCAAAAAAAAAAAAAAAAATTCCATTATTTTAACATAATGTAGATGCCTTGTACAGAGGAGTTTTCATTACAGATGCTCCTCCATCTTATGATGGGATTATGTCCTGATAAACCCATCATAAGTTGAAAATATTGTAAATTGGAGACAGAGTTTTGCTCTGTCGCCCAGGCTGGAGTGCAGTGGTGCGATCTTGGCTCACTGCAGGCTCCGCCTCCCGGGTTCACGCCATGGAGATGTATTTTAATATGCATAACCTACCGAACTTTGTAGCTTACCCTGCCTACCTTAAATGTGCTCCAAACACTTACATCACTCATTAGTTGGACAGAATCATCTAGCACAAAGCCTATTTTATAATAAAATACCACATATCTCATGCACCGCATATTGCAAGCCAGGGAAAAGATCAAAATTCAAAGTATGTCAAAAATTGTGATGTCTTCACACCATTGTAAGTCAGGGGCCATCTGTATTTTGCTCTGGAAGAAGAAGTATTGCATAAACATTTAACAAGTTATCAGCGAAAGACAGATCTAATTGCATTTCTTTTCTAGGTCCTACGGGAAGTGAAGGTGCTCGCAGGTCTTCAGCACCCCAATATCGTTGGCTATCACACTGCGTGGATAGAACATGTTCACGTGATTCAGCCACGAGGTAAGCCGTTTTTGATGACGTGGTAGTTGAAGCATTGGCACACTTCAGCCTGTGGACTAAATGTGGAACTAAAAGTCGGCCCGCCCCTTCGGTTTTTGTACATACCACAGCGTGAGACGATGGTTTTTACCATTTATTTTAATTTTTTTTGAGATTGGAGCCTTCGGCTCTGTTGCCCCTGTGGAGTGGCGCAGTGCATGATCTCGGTCACTGCAACCTCTTGGCTCCCGGGTTCGATGCCATTCTTCCTGCCTCACACAAGCTCCTAATACTGGGGCTTGACCAGGCGCCCCACCACCACGACTTGCTAAATGTTTTTTTTTTCTTTTTTTTTGTTCAGTTTTTAGTACGAACTGGCTGCACTTGTGTTGGCCAGGATTCGGGCCTCGGTGATCTGCCGCTCTGCCTCCCAAAGTGCTCTGAGGAGTTAAGGTGTCCGAGCCACCGCACACCCAGCCAGTTTTTATATGTTCTTACAATACTGCTTGAACAAAATCAAGAACAGATTTGTGACAAACTCTTGAGAGGCGTTTTGACAGAAGAGGTCTTGCTCTGCGTCACCCCAGCTGTTGGAGTGTAGTGCGCGATCTTTGCTCACTGCACAACGCTCCCACCTCCTGGGCTTACAGTGAGTTATTCTGCCTCAGCCTCCCGAGTAGCTGGATTGATAGTGTGTGCGGCCACCACATGCCTGCTAGATTTTCGTATTCTTTAGTACAAAAAGAGCGGGGTTTCAGCGAAACTCACGAAAA